ATCTGAAGGTGCTAAATCAGGTGAATATGGTGGGTGCAGTAGAACTTCCCAATCAAGCTCTGGAATAGCATTTTTGATCAAATTAGCAATGGGCAGGCAAATGTTAAAGTAGGTCTAAAAAATGCTCATTTTTTGTCTACTTGGCAATCCATCGTCATATAAAGGCAAAATTCAATCAAATTTAAAAAATGTTAAACAAGAGTTGTAGAGCAAGCTAAATCACCAAAGTTAAGCAACATCAAGTCTGGTCAGTACATAAATAGGTGACTGCTTGAGAATACCTGTTGCTGTAAGCTTGGATGTGTGGGTGGTGTAATCGATAATGACTTGGAATTGTTAATCAGAGAGCCAAGTTCCAAATACAGTTGGGTTTGATATATTCACTTACATGCAAATACCCATTAGAAAGGTATGATTCCCCTGCTCCTCCCCCCAACCATCTCTTAGTTGCTGGCGTTTCCAGATCCACCCTGACCCGGGGTGGTAGCGTCTGTTAGGGTCCCAGCTATGGGCAAATAGTTGACACCAAACTTGTGTAAAAATAGGTTTTAATACCAGAAATACTTTGTAATAAAAAAAAATATTACCACCAATAATTTTTGAAGGAAAAATTATTATCAGCAATACTTAAAAAAAAAAAAAAATACCACCAATACAAATAGCTATACATTCTTTGAAAAAAATATTACCAGCTATACATTTCTTCAAAGTAAAATATTCCCAGAAATAGATTTTTGCAGATATATTGAAAAACATATTACCAGCAATAAAAATTTTGTCGGCATTAAATAACTCACTGAGGTGTTGATATACCGTAAAACAAACCTGACCAAACTAAATCTACTCCCACCCCACCCACAAGTTAATTAGTAAGACTTTTATCACTAAAGAATTATTATTATTATCTCAGAAAAAAATTTTACAATGTAAAAATATTTTCTGGATTTAAATAACCTGCAAATATGATAAGCCATAGAAAACGAATCAATCAAACACTACAATAAAAATATTTGGCATATTCATTCAAATAACTTTGAGAAAAATATATGAACAATACATGAACATCTAGACATCATTTGGCATAAGAATCACTGAAAAACCCTATGAGTTATTCCACTAAAAAGAGAACAGGTTAAAATCATTTTGTGTCAGCCCCACAATATGTCTTCCCAAGTGAGCAATGGTGAGACGAAAAAGATCATACAGGCCTTCAGTAATGGTACCTGCATTCATACTCTGGCTTCCATGTTCAAAGTCTATTCAAGAACCATCAAGAGAATGGTTAATAATTTTAAACAAAGAGGGAACAGTAGAAAGGAAAACTGAATCAGGATGTCACAACAGCAAGATGACCATCATTTCAACTTAGAGCTAAATACATTCTTATTGTTCAAAGTAGAGTCCAATAATGTTATAAAAACCTTGGAGAATTCCAGTAAGATATCTTTAATCATTTCTAAGATACAACAGTTCAATCGTCCTGGGTAAGATGTTAAACTACATCCGTGTCCTGGGTAAGACAATAAACTACGTCCAGCAGCAAGGCCTCTGATCAGGAGATTTTGAGGAGTGTGGAACCACTTCTTAATTGCTGGTATTCCCAGGTACACCCTGACCCAGGATGGTAGCACCTGTTAGGGTCCCAGCTATGAGCAAATACTTAACTAATACCAGCAATGCTTTTCTGAAAAAAAATTATTACCAGCAATACAATTTTGAAGGAAAAATATTACCAGAAACAAATTTTTGACAAAACAAAATATTACCAGCAATAAAAAAAATGTTGTCAGCATTAAATAACCCATTGAGGTTGATATACTGTAAAATAAAATAAACCAAACCAATCTAAACCAAAGAATACATATTCTATTCATACGAATCTATCCTAAAAATGTTGTCGGCATTAAATAACCCATTGAGGTTGATATGCCGTAAAACAAAATAAACCAAACCAAACTATACAATGGTTCAAAGCATAATCTAACAATTGGACAATTTTACTGTTACATCCGATATATATATTCTAAATCCTTTTCTATTAACTTAGATAATGATGGATATTATAATTTAAATGATCCTCAAGTTTTGAACATTGTGCATTTTTCATGTAAGGTTACCCATTGTTTTAGACAAAACATTTTTATTCAGTGCATGTGGGTTGGTTCTGCAATGAAGAAATTAGTTCAAACCAATCGAAATGAAATAGATTAGAACAAAATATTACCAGCAATACCAGTATTACTACTTCCTCTATATTTCTTTACAACTGTCACCTGTCTCATGAAGGGGGATAAAATAGTAGGTATATAGTAATGAAAACCAAAGCATATTAATGATACAAACATGTCAATCCCTCAAATGTTCAAACTGTTTACCCTCAGCATTCACAAACTCTTCTATTTAAGAGACGACACTCATGCACAAAGGTCTTTATCAGCATCGAATTCCTGGTAAGCATCTCATATGAATTGAATCATGGCATCAACAGAGTGTGGTTGACATGCAATAACCATACCCTTTATGCATCCCCAGAAAAAAAAGTCCATAAGAGTAATATCCGACAAACATGATAGCTAGTCAATGGCTCTTCGATGTCCAATCCACCTGTTATAATAAAAAATTATGTAAATAAAAATATTAAAAATGATTTAAATGAATTCTAGTTTAAAATGAATCCTATAATCACTATTATAATACTGGAACAAGGTTTTAGAGAAAATGGAAACAAAAAGGAAACTTGTACTTTAACATCAGGAAGAGACGGTTAAAATTTCTGGTGCATATAATGAGGAAGGAAGGCTTGGAAAATCTGATACTCACAGGACAGATTGAGGGCAAGAGAGAGGAAAATAATGCATAACATACTTAATGAGTAAATGGATGCCAAAAGAGGGTTTAGGAAAAATAATAAAAAGACAAAATTCATTAAGAGCTACAAAGGACAGGAAATAGTGGAAAGCCCTGATCGCCTCTATCCTGAGGGGTTACACAACAATATTGATATAATATATACCATATATACCTATTTTTGTAGCCTCCCTGTATATAACGGATGTATGACTGTCTTTGTTGTAACAAAAGAGTAAGATAAATGTACTGTTACAATGCCTTTCTGCACACCATTGCACAAGCTGTGATGGCATCCATAGTCAGCTATATGCATATACACCTGGCTCATTATGTGCACAGATTTGTCTCACTGGTTGTGATCTCAAATTAAACAAAGAATAACAACAAATTCTTTTCAAGACACTGGTTGGGAAGTATCAAACAATACGGTTTCTCACTTAATTGGCAAGATCTTCCTTCAGCTTCAAGGTGAACTGCTATCTTACTAACTTCTGGCCACAGAAAAAGGACCCTTATACTTGATGCCTAACTTGCTCAGTGATTGCTTACTCACTCTGGTCCTTTTCCCACTTTTTGCCAAATTCCTGACTTCCTATATGGCGAGGATCCCACCACCCCTATCTGTCCACTTGTGTTCTGGGAAAGGAGACTGCCCATTCAACTTTTGGGAAGTCAGTTTTTCAAAGGACTCTACTTTTATGATTATCTAAAATCACTAGAAAAATTTTGTTTGCCAGTTTAAAGACCGGTTGGAGACAAGATTCCTGAAAAATCCAGGTCATTAAATTGAGTTAAAGATGGACTGGAGACAAGATTCCTAAGAACCCTGGTCATTAAATTGACTTAAAAGGAAAAAGAATCTATCTATCTATCTATCTATCTATCTATCTCCTGAGAATGTGTGTGAAATCGAATTGCTATACTACAAAGAATACTCATGTCTTTTATTTTCCTATTTTATTCACATCATATATTTACAAATTAAACCCAGTATGATTACATTCTTACAAATTAAATATTTAATCTTGTCTTTTGATAAGTAAGGTGTGTGATTGTAGGCTGTAGAATAATATCTGAACAAAAGTGTAGATAATATGGAGCAGAATAGCTGTTCAACAACATGTTTCACTGCTTATAGTAGGCATCTTGAGGCTGAAATGAAAGACAAATTCATGTAAAAAAAAAAAAAAAAAAAGTTGGAATATAGGAAAGAGGTAGTGAAGATCCTTATCAGACATGATATTGGTTTCAATATGAAAAACACCAACACCTTGGCTGCATTGTTTAATGAGGATTTTTATTGCCTCTTTTCCATATTCCAACACCCTTTTCTTACACACGGGTTTGTTTCTCATGCCAGCTTCAAGACATATACTACAGGCTTATTCAAAAAGAGATTTCAAAAATTGAATAAATACAAATGCTAAGAGACAGAAACACAGTCAACACATTACTGGATAAGAAAAGGTTCAAAGTTTATTATTTTGAGGTTGTTTAACTTGTATACACTCAGCATGAGAACCTGTGTTGCGTGACAAACATCGAAACAGTATTCTTGCCACACTTGAATCAAATGATTTAAATTTATACAAAGTCTGAAAAATAGACAAGAAAAAGAAGCCTTTAAACAAGATTGAAAAAAAAATTGCATTTATTTTATATAACTTTAAACCTTTTCCTATTCAGTAATGTGCTGAGTGTCTTTCTGTCTAGCATTTTTTGCTTTTACTAAATTTTCAAAATCTGCTCTTTCTTTTCGGATATCCCTGATATAAAGAGTGAAACACGTACTTGAATAACTTCTCAACTTTGTCTTAGCATAAGTATGATGCATAATTAAAATTACCTATAACCAATTATCTACTAATGATTACTAATACTTTTCAGGGATACAAGGTAGATTTATTCTTTTTTTTACTCTCTTTAAAAAAAAACAAAATAAATCTTAATAATATTCTTCTTTTCTCTGCAATCATACACAGCTTTAAGCCACCATCTTTGTGGCTGTTATTTATTCTGAAATACAAATGTATGCATGACCATTTGTCAGCCGTTCCACCTGAGAGGGATACGTTCAAACAACAATAATAGGCTTTCACCAAAAGAGACTGATGCAGACTCAAATAATTTTTCATTTTCTGCCCTTACAGCTTGATTCCAGAAAAGCAGAAAACTTTGACACGATGTTCACCTCAAAAGACGTCAAAATGACACCGACGGACAATCTAATCATCATGAATATTGATGATAGTGCATTCAGGAACTTCTCTTTTGTCAATCCCTTTTTCAGTCCAAATCAATCAGACTCATGAACAGTAGTATGTATACCTTTTCCCTTTTACTTAACTTTTCCCTTTTGCTGGGATGCTGCAACTGACTAATTCAGTCCATATATGGTAACAAAAAAAAAAAGAATGATCTAGATGAGGTCTTTGAGCAAATAATCAGGTGTGTGAGAGAGCATGGAAAAAATAACTGAGATATATATATATATATATGTATGACAAAATGGAAAAAATGTTTTTGTCTGATGCCTTTCATTATTTAGGATTTCATCAGATGAAACACATCACGCAAAAACTTTTTTCCACTTTGTCATACATCTTTCTCCCAAAATTGTTCTTGATATATAAAAATTTACATATCATTATCCCATATATATATATATATATTACTTAAACGTCATTTTTAGTGGATGACCATATTTGAGTAGACATTCCATTTATCTATTAAACGATATATTTATTTTCGTCTGCTGGCCTGAATATTTGAGAAATCTTATTACATAAAAGATGTGCCCTCTTGATGGCTTTGAACCTGTATCCCCCTTAGCAGGAGAAAATGTTGTTAGATCTAATGTGCTTTACACCATCTTTGTCATAGACTGTGTCAACAATCGGGCAAAGTCAAATGCTGCAGCTGACTAATTCAGTCCATATATGGTTAACAAGAAATTTATAAACACAAATCTTTCTCAGACTCTCAAAACATTCATATCTGCTCAGTTTGATATCCTAATGTAAACAAAGTAATTTCTAAAGAAAGGGATGGATTTTTATTTATTAATCTGTTAATTTGTGTCTATAAGGCCCTATTCAATTTTCTTTCATTGTTGACGCACTCTGTGACTGAGAAGGTTAAAAGCATGTCAAATCTAACAATGGTGTCTCCTACCAAGGAGGACACGGGTTCTTTTATATACATACATATATATATATATATATATATATATATATATAATGAGAGAGAGTGATCCAGCATGCTTTTGGCCATCTCGGCCATGGTGTGTGTTGCCAATCAAGGAAAGTTGAATAGTGCATTATATACACAAATCTTTCTCAGCCTCAAAACATTCATCTCTGTTTAATTTCATATCCTAATGTAAACAAAGCAATTTCTAAAGAACTGATAGATTTTTACTTATTAATCTAACATAATTTATTGCTTAAACATTATTTTTAGTGAATACCCATATTTCGTATGATCTAACAATGGTTTCTCCTGCCTTGAGGGATGCAGGTTCGATTCCTCCCTGAGAGCGCATATTTTTCTTTAATAAGATTTCTCAAATATTCAGGCTGCAAGACGAAAATAAATAAATTTACTGTTTAATAAATAAACAGAACATCTACCCAAATATAGGTATCCACTAAAATTGACATTTAAGTAATAAAATCTGTCGGATTAATAGATAAAAATCTATCACTTCTTTAGATAAATATATATAAAATAAAAAAAAAAAGAGAATAAGATAAAAATGATTTAAATATTTTGGAAAGCAATATCCTCTGAGAAAAAAAAAGTCAGTTTCTTTCCTTGATCCACCCACTCTTCAGAAGATTTACTTTCAATCTTCACCAGGACTATGTGTCAGATGGGAGTAGAGGTACTTGTGAAAGTTTGCTTAGTTCAACACTAAACTCGATGGAATCTTTGCTTGACTCTTCAGTAGTTTAATGTTTGTTTGTACAGGAAAATACTGTAGTTATTGTCCTCTTATACATTTCATTGATTGATACATATTTTACAGTTTATCAACCCTTTGCAGGTTATTTAAAACCAGAAAATATTTTTAGATTGTAAGAATTTCTTTTTTTTTTTGACATTATAATGAGTTAGTGATACATCCTACTAAGTAATCCATAGCTGGGGGGAAAAGAGATGGATTCATGCCTTTCCCAAGGGTATTTGCATCTAAGTGAATACAACAAACCCAACAGGAATTGGAACTCAGCTCTCAGATTAACAATTCCATGCCATTATCCATTACATCACCTGTGCATCCAAGCTTACAGCACTTGGCATTTCCTAGCAGTCACCCATCTAGGTACTGACCAGATTCAATGTTGCTTAACTCCAGTGACCATACAGGAACCAATGTTTTGACATGATATGGTTGTAAGCCTTGCACATTTCACATTGAAATCTGTTCAAAAAATATTTGATTGCATGGAAAGCTCTATTTTGTCTTTATGGCCAGATCACATTGAAACACTGGTTCCTGTACAATGACTGAAGTTAAGCAAAATTGGGCCTGGTCAACACTTAGATGGGTGTCAAGTGTTGCAAGCTTGCATGTGCAGGTAGTATGGCTTATGGCCATATTACATTAAAACATTGGTTTCCATAAGATTACTGAAGTTATGCAACATCAAGCTTTGTCAGTACCTAGATCAGTGACTGCTTGGGAATATCAGGTGCTGTAAACTTGGATGTGTGGGTGGTGTAATGGATAATACCTCGGAATTTTTAATCAGAGAGCTGAGTTCCAATTCTAGTTGGATTTGTTATTTTCACTTGCACATAAATACCCATCAGAAAAGTATAAATCCACCTCTTCTCTCCCCAGCTATGGGTTAATTAGTAAGACTTGTATCACTAAAACCATTATTATTTCTGAAAAAGAATTCTTACAATGTAAAAATATTTTCTGGTTTTAAATAACCTGCAAAGGGTTGATAAGCCATAAAAAATGAATCAATTCACTGCTTGATGCTATATAAACTTCTGCCTGATGATTGCCATGTGCATGAAACTTTAAGTAGCATTGAGTGGTAAGGAACAACTATATAATTCTTCAATATAATATGATAAAATGTAGCTTTAAGGTATGCTATATTTATGGGTTAATGTGCTCAATATCATACGATTGCATATAAGCATAAAACAGACTGTCAACTGCTGGGTGTTGACTTTAATATCCTCTTTTATATTTACATAATTCTTTAATATAAAATATATTAAAAATATATTTTATATGCTTTTAGAAGGATATCAAAATATATTCCAAAATTATTTTACTGGCTTTTAGAAGAATAATTTTATTGAACAGGACATAAAAAAAATACATTGACGTAGGTGACCCTCAGTCGAGATTATGGTCAGTGTAAACTCTATGATCCTGACAATGGCTGTGCATAGTATATGCTACAGCATGTCTACGCATGGTTTAAAATTCAGAGTTATCTCCAAAAAAATTCTTATAATATAAAATTATCACTCTGTGCTAGTCACCTCATTTTTTCCAAAAATGTATAGTCCCTTGATGTCTGACTCCCATGACATCTAAGCTACAACAGCACCACACCATGTGCCACAAAGCCTTACTGAGTCAGCAGGTTAGTGGGAGATAGAAAAATGAACAAGTTGCAATTATGAGTACTTTAAAAATTTGGAGGTTAAAAAAAATCATCCTATATGACTAACGCAGAGTTAAATAACCTGCAAATGTTAAGCTGTAAAAAACAAATCAATCATTCAAAGTAATTTTATTTATTGCCCAGAAAACAATTTGGTTGGTGTTAGCGTATAACCAGTGGATTAGTTTGTTAATAAATTGTATAATTTACTCTTTTATTTACACTATTTACATTGTCCTCATCTTTCATATTCATGATGTTTCAGCCGTTGTATGCTTTGGCCTTCTTCAAGTGATACACATTGGAATTTTGAACGGAACCCTTTATTTCCCCAAGGCCACATGTCCCAGTTGATGAAGATGCATTCATTGAAGTAATCCAGTGACTTGACCTAAAGAGTTGTGAGTTCAATACCTGACCACAGCAGAGGTGAACAAAAAAATTGGAGAGTTGAGTTACTAAAGATAGATAACTGAAACTGAGAAATCCCGAAAAGGCATGACATGTGGGACCAGAAAAATCTATCCTGGTGGACAAAATAAAGGGTATATGACTTGATGAAGGCCAGAGTGTACAATGGCTGAAATGTTGTGAATATGACAATAAAGATGAACACAACATTCCAAACAATGTAAAGAGTGTAGATACTTACAATACAGAAATATAAACAATTACTCTTTTATCTAGGATTATTTTTTTTTTTTAAAAGAATGTTCTGTCTGAAATAATTAGATATTCTTACTCTAATTATTTTAAGGTGGTCTAATTATTATTATTCTTAGGTAAATGTGTTTTTTAAAAAAAGTAAAAAGGAGGAATGCATTTAATGCTTCTCTAAATCTAGCATTTTTTCACCTGAATTCTGCATTTGTCCTGTGCTTGTTCTCAGGCCTCTCTACTATGTATGGTTACGTCAATGCTGTCCTATACTTTAATCCTATTTATTTTATTTTTTTTTTTTCATCATTTTTCTCTTGTGCTATTGCATGATTTCAAACGAATTCCTCTTTTTTTATCTTCCATTATTTTGAACCTATTTTAGCTCCTCTTTCTATATTTTTTCTGAGTGCTTTTAAATTTTCTTCTCCCATATTTACTTGCCACTTTGGCCCTTTGTTTTTGCATTTGTTAAATACCTTTTGGTATTTAGTTTTCATGTTTTGTTTCTTTCTTTTTTTTTTTTTTTTTTTTTCAAACATTTTGATACAGTTTTTGTTTGTTTGTTTTTTATCTTTTTTTGGTGGGGGGATATTTTTATTTTGTTTCTATTTATTTATTTTTACTCACTTACCTGCCATCACTCACCTTTTGTTTCTATTACTTACCTGCCCCTACCTATTTTTTACAGCATTATCTCCCTTGCCTCCCAACTTGCCTTTCACATTTATCTTTATTTTTCTTTTATTTTTTTCACCATTCCAGTTGATTAACCTGAATGCATTACAAGATTTACTTCCGTTCATTTTAATAATAAACATTATTATTTTTATTGCACATTATTCAAGAAATCTTGGCTTAGCAACCCCATCATCAGAAGGTTATTGTTGTGTCTAACATATTTTATTAGCCGTTCAATTTTAAGAATCAATTCTTTTTAAAAAATTAACAGTAGGTAGGCAATGTTTTTAAGTTCCCCAAACTTTCTACTTTTAAATGTATCAATGAAATTTTCTTGTAGA